GCATCCCTATAGCCTTGCATCCCTATAGCCTTCAATCCCTATATCCTTGCATCCCTATATCCTTGCATTCCTATAGCCTTGAATCCCTATATCCTTGCATCTCTATATTCTTGCATCCCTATATCCTTGCATCTCTATATCCTTGCATCCCTATATCCTTGCATCCCTATAGCCTTGCATCCCTATAGCCTTGAATCCCTATATCCTTGCATCCCTATATCCTTACATCCCTATATCCTTGCATTCCTAAATCCTTGCATCCCTATATGCTTGCATTTCTATGATCCTTGCATTCCTATATCCTTAAATCTCCATATGTCCCTTATATCTCCATATATCCTCACACCTCCATATGTCCCCATAACCCTATCTCTCTCCACATCCTCCTATTTTTAAATCCTAATTATATTCCTATCTCTCTATATCCATGTCCACTAATCATTAGTGTCATGGAATCTTGATTGAGTGACTCATGTATACACAGATAGGGACTTTCGCGTGGACTTTTACATTCCGGTTTTCGAATACTATGCGGAAAATTTAATTGCATAATATATTTAAATTATATTCGAGAAAGTGCCGACTCCTTGAAAATTATTGCGGTTTTGTGCAGAAATTATTTAAAACTTGTAGATTGACTCATAGCATAAATTTCTTTCGATATTTCTTCTTTGAGATGAAAATGCGTCTTCTCGTATGCCTTACGATATACACGATACTTAGTTGATTAATGTAACGCGTACACGTGTGAAATCGCAAATATCCGAGATATCTCACTAGCGTTAAATGCTTTGATCGAAAATGCAAGTTAGTATGACAAGAAAGTTTCAAGGTTCATGGAAATCCTGCATGATAAGCAGCGGAAAAAGTTTCTAATTCATGCTATCGCTTGGGAATGCAAAATGGTGGAAAGGAAAGTCAAAGCTACGATTGTCATTCTGAATGATGTGTTGGGGATTTTTTCCTGAAAACTGGGAACGAAGAAACCATCATTTATTAGAGACAAGTCTAGGTACATATAAGATCTAGGAACTTAGAGGTCTCAAGAGATGTAGAGTTTTACATCTTTACAAAGATGTAGAAATGTACTAATCTTGAGTTGTAGTGATTTGATGGTGCAAAGATTTGAAAATATAGTAATCTTGAGTTGTAATGATTTGATGGTGCAGAGATTTAAAAGAGTTAGAGTTATAAAGGTAGAGAGATGTGAAGATCTAGAGATATAGGGTTTTAGAAGTTCAGAAATTTAAAAATATGCAACTCCAGTGATATATGTAGATATAGAGATTTAGGGACACAGTATATTAAAATTAATATTCACTAATAAAACATTTCTTCAATAAATATTAACAAATAATTTTCTTAACAAAATATTCTACTTAAAAATATTCAGACTTCCTTAAACACCCAAACCAAAGTGAAAGTTATTTGACACTTTACATTGCACGCCTCTTATAATTTATTTTAATCAAAATGGCGGACGGTACAAACATTTTCGTAAAATACTGCGCCTTTCTAAACGAAGCATTAAACAAGAATGACGCTTAATTACCTTTAAAGTATCATTAATATTAACGATCGAAGGAGAGTTTTACATGGCTGTGTATTGATGCAAACATCTAGGAAGAGAAACCGGAAGCTATGCCAATAAAATGTACCTCATTCTTCCGTTTCCACGTATTGGAACGTCTCTCGCAGCGAACACAGCCGGTTACCGGTTTTTTACTCGAGCCAAACAAAAGTGAAAGGTCCTTACATGTATTGGCTTCGCGATCATCGGATATCGTCTCCACTTTCAAATAAACGACGATTAACTTAAACGTGGAGTGCGCTCTCGATATATTGCCACCGAGTCTCTGGTAATCGAGGTTAGATTCTTGATAAAACGATGTTAGATCTAGTTGATAGTTACTATCATTTACTAGATCAAAGAGTAGGTATAAGAGATGTCACTTTGACAAAGAAACTGTTTAGAAAGTCGAAATAATTTATATGACCAAAATATGGATTTCGAAGTATTTTAAAATTAAGTATAACAAGAGTCACTCTGACACAAAATTACATCTAGAGAGAAGGAATAATACAAGCAATTTAACTATGCCAAATACGAGCTGGTATTTCAACATATTCCGAAAAATGTACACAGTGTGCATGGCGTTCAACAAACAATGCTTCACACCCGCACACTCGTGTCATTTATTTGTAACTTACAATAAATACTTTGTTATTCATTTGTAATTTGTAACAAATACGAGTAAATATTTTGTCCTTCCTAACACGTTCGTCAGTATTTGTAATAAATATCTCGTCATTTCCCTGTAACACGTTCGTCCGTATTTTCTTGTAATAAATAGTTCGTCGTTTCTTTATAAGTTATTCGTAATAATCGTTTCCGTGATATATATTCTTAAAATATATTTTGTAGAGTAATCATTTTAATATATTCCTTTCTTTCCAACTTTTCAATCTTGTAAAATTGATGCAAATACTTTGGAAGGCAATATTAGTGACATACAGAAAATTGGCATTTATTATTAAAGGTTGAAATTCGTTCGATTTGAATTTCCCGCTGTAGAAGCAATAGGAAGACTCGCACTTGACTAAAACAGCGTATAACTTGATACAAAATTAAAAATATGAGGAACAAATAAATATTGAGAAAATTGACATTTCAAATTATTAGTTGAAATTCGTTCGATTTGAATTTCCCGCGTCTGTAGAAGCAATATGAAGTCTCTTGCAGCCTTTGACTAAACTAGCATATAATGTAGACTTGATACAAAATTAAAAATATAGCAAAGGAATAAATATAGAGAAAATTGACATTTCAAATTATTAGTTGAAATTTGTTTGATTTGAATTTCCCGCTCGTTTGTAGAAGCAATTTAAAAGTGTTGGTTGTATGTGACACCGTGTATAAAATGAGGAATTTCGAAGAACGAGAAGACAGATAATACTGCATACTACGAAAGTAGAACCCAGATGTTCACCCACTAACAGAGTGACTTCTGACCTCTGTTTCTACCTTCACTTGCAAACTATCTGAGGTGACGCAGATTTCTAACACATTTTTGTACCACTTAATATACTATCACTTTTTGGTACATTTCTTTCCTATATGAGACTAAATGTATTAGGTAATTCAATCAATCGTGAATTAAATTGATGGATGAGTGATTCGATGAAATGGTGATGTATATTGTTCAACTAGTTTTTGGTTGTTCAAGTTTAGAAATTGAAAATTGGGAATTTGAGAAGCTGGAGCAATCTGAAAATTTAGGGAGAGAATTTGGAATTTAATAAGTGATAAATTTGTAAATTAAGAAATTTAAAAATTGAGGAATTTGTGAATTAAGAAATCTAAAGGTTGACGAATATGAAAATTAGGAAATTTAAAAATTGAAGAAGTTGGAAATTAAAATATTTGAAAATCAAGAAAGAAAAAAATTAAGAAGTGTAAAAATTTAAAAGTAAAAATAAATAGAATTGAAACTTAAAAAATCTAAAAATTGAGAAACTCGAAAATTAAAATATCTAAAACTTGTGAAATAAGAAAATTAAACAGTGTACGAATTGAAAAAATTTGAAATCCAGAAATAAAAAAAAAACTTACAAAATCTAAAAATTAACAAATTTTTAAATTTGCAATTCGAAAATTGTACAATTCAAACATTTGTAAAATAAGAAATTTAAGAAGTCAATAGAACATCGCGTGAAATCAAAAGCAGATACAGAAAGGATGCAAATAAAAATGGAGTGAGAGGAAGTCGCTCGTTAACAGAGCGAGCATAATAAAGTGCGAACGGTGTGAGTTTTTACGAGTTTGCTATTTAACCGGTGAAATTCACGACAATGTCGAGAAAAATAGCTGTGCTTATAGACAGAGCTGACGATATAATTTGCAAGACCCAAGTCAATGATTGTTGAGAACATAAAAATTTTTTGTACAAAATTTTTTTTTGAGAAATAAGAAATTTTTACTGAAATTAGGGTAATCAAAACACGTGAAGATTTAAGCGAAATGTGACTCAAAATTGAATTAATAACATTTTTAATTTAATTCAAAAGTAGGTTAGGTCAAGTTAGGTTATGTTAAATTAGGGTAGGTTAGGTTAGATTGTATTACTCAAAATTTAACACAAAATTCAAGTTTGTTTTAAATTAAACTTAAAGCTAATTTAATAAATTCAAATTTAATTCAAACCTAATTTAATTTTAATTCAAGTTTAATTATGGACTAATTCCATCGTGGTTAATTTTAATCATTTAAAACTAGCTCGATACTAACCTTAATTTAGCTCAAAATTTATTCACACTAACCTTAATTTAATTCAAAATTTATTCAACACTAACCCAAATTTAACTCAAAATTTATTCAACACAAACTCAAATTTAATTCAAAATTTATACGTCATTACCCCAAATTAAATTCAAATCTACTTCAATTTAATCACTACTTAAATTCTAACCTAAAACTGATTCCACACTAACCAAAATCCAACCCAAACCTAATTGAACTATAAAACTACTGCTCTCCTAAATTAACAAAACAAAAGCAATGCAAATTAATTTATTTACTTTTCACAAGCCGTAAGGTCCCTAATTAAGCATACAATCCAAGGTAATTAACTAATTTACCTTTTACAAAATTAAAAATCCCTAATTAAGTGTAGATTTCAGACTAACTAATTTATTTGCCTTTTACAAATCCTAAAGTCCCTAATTAATAACATACAGTTCAAGATAATTAACTTGTTAATTTTTTTTGTGTAAAATTCAAAATTCCTAATTAAATGTAGAACCGTGTACAGAACTGATGACGATGCGTTTATAGAAGTGAATACTATGGCCTGATTACGTTCGTTGCGAGAACAAATGTAGTAATTTCATGAAATTTGAATAGCTATTACAAATACCTTAACTTCACACTATGCATGCATCTCAATTCTAATGTAAGAGAAATCTAGAAACAGATCTTATAATTACATCTTACAACGCACCGTGTAGAAATCTCTTCGAGGAGAATTTCCAATACGTAATTTTTAACATCTTTCTGCAGTGAAACTTGACATTCGTAAAATATTATGAGCTGCTTGTACAAGGTGCTTATATGTCGGCTTATTTAATTTGTAAACTTGTCAATTTGTACGTTTGTGAGTTTGTTAATGTATACATTTCTAAGCTTATACATTTGTGCATTTTTAAATTCGTTAAATCTGTGAATTTGTAAAATTGTGGAATTGTAAAATTGTGGAATTGTAAAATTGTGGAATTGTAAAATTGTGGAATTGTAAAATTGTGGAATTGTAAAATTGTGGAATTGTAAAATTGTGGAATTGTAAAATTGTGGAATTGTAAAATTGTGGAATTGTAAAATTGTGGAATTGTAAAATTGTGGAATTGTAAAATTGTGGAATTGTAAAATTGTGGAATTGTAAAATTGTGGAATTGTAAAATTGTAGAATTGTAAAATTGTGGAATTGTAAAATTGTGGAATTGTGGAATTGTAAAATTGTAAAATTGTAAAATTGTAAAATTGTAAAATTGTAAAATTGTAAAATTGTAAAATTGTAAAATTGTAAAATTGTATATTTGTTGATTTATACATTTCTTAAATTTGTGAATTTGTAAAATAATATATTTATTAATTTATGAATTTGTCAATTTGTTAATTTATAATTTCATAAATTTCTAAATTCATCAATTCAAAAGTTCATAAATTTATAAATTTATAAATTTATAAACAAGAATTGTAAATAATTTTCAAAAAAGTCACTAACAATATTATTAAAACTTGTTATGTCTTCAAATCTTTCATTACAATTAAAACTGCCATTTCATTAGTTAATTATTAGCCCCGTTTAAAAATAATTTAAACAACAATGTTTAATCGTACAAAAAAATAATAAAAACAAAGTTAGTAGTAGTTCTACAAAAAACAGTGACAAAGAATTACTGTTTTATGATCTTGCAAGTTCATTGTATAAAAAGATAAGTCATCTGCTTGAATAATCAAATAAATACAAGATAAAGAGTAGAAAGCGACGCGTGACATCAAAAACCGGAAATAGTTCGAGCCATTCAACTTATGAAGATTGGCGCATCAGCTGTTTGTTTCTATTTCTGATAAAATCTGTATTATACACTCTAAATGAAATAAGTATTTCAATTTCTTACATATATTATCACACTGGTATTTAAAAATATAATTGCTACAGATGGCTAAATGTGATGTAACTGAATATGTGACATCTTCGATATAAGTGAAAAATGATATTCAAAAATGCATGATAATATATTTGATATATTGTTGATATTATATTTGGTATAATATACGTAATATATTTAGTATAATATCGTCGATGTATTCATATATACATATATCGAATTATATAAACACTATCATATATTGTATACATATGTACTTTTTATATGTCACAGACACAATGTTCAAAGACATGATTTATGTCAAAAGTGATATATAACATTCATGATATATTTAGTATAATATCGTCGATGTATTCACATATACATATATCGAAACATATAAACACTATAATATATTGTACATATGTGTACCATTAATATGTCAGAGACATAATGTTCAAAGACATAAATCTACAATAATACATTTGATATACAATATTCACGATATATTAACCATTTATTAAACATTGAAATATTAAACCTAACCTAACCTAAATCGTGGTAAATTTAATATAAGTGTGGTAATACTAGTAATACTAATACTAATATTAGAATGATCTTTACACATATGTATACGCTATCATTGATATAATATTCAAAAACGTAGACCACAATGATACATTACATACGTAATATTCTTCATGTGTTAAAGATGTAATATCTGAGCATAATTCTCTGTGATGATATACTGGATAATAAATTTTATTAAAAATGTAATATCTAAAATTTTGATCTACCATGAAATATAATCCTTCATAAATTAATATTATATTTGAAAATCAACATATATTATTAATATCATACTGAATATATAATATCCTATATACAGTGTAAAATATGAAAACTAAGAAAGAAGAAAATATAGAGCGAAACTCAACGAGCAAAGATTCCTCCGCCATCAAGGGTTGATCAACCGCTCCAGAAAATATTTTCCACACCACCCACACTTTCTCATAAAAAATCTTAAACACCTACATTATATACTTAAACCTCCACATTTACATTTCAGCGAAGATCAGCCGAGAGTAGAAAAGAAAGTGGGAACTCACCTGTTGGAAATGATTTAAATCAGCTGCTGGGATCGTTAGGTCAACATCGGCAGCAACGAAAGTCCCTGTCCTTAGGATCGCCGCGATCCACAGGAAGCGTAAAACATTCTCTCGTCTCATAACGAAAAACCGATCTTTCTTCTCGATCGATGCTCGCACTCGAATCGCCTTTCTTTTACGAGAACTTCACCACCGGCACATCGGCACCCCACTTCCTCTTCGCAAAGTTACTTTCAAACTCGCTCGACTGAGCCGAATAATTGTACCGTTTCCTGGTCGTACGATCGGGAAGTGTCGTTAAACGGGAATAAAGATAAAAATGTTGCTTCTCGTAGAACGATAACGTTTCACAAAATAGACGAGTGGCAGACGGAGTTGCTCGGGGAGAACGGTTGCGTTTTATCGAGGAGAGAAAAACAATGAATTGACTTTTCCCGACGATCACAAAGGGGACAATGGCGGATAGGTAGCAGACTAGTTGGCTGACAAGTTCACACGTTCGCGAGGACGAGTTCGGGACTGTTGGAGATTGGAAAACGTCTGAGAGTTTTACTTCTCTCCACCGGGGAAGAGTTCTTTCGCAAAAGCCAGGTGGGAGACGAACAGGTAGGACAGTGAACGTCGGTTCTTGGACGAATCTTTTGTCCGACTAATTTTTATTCGACTTTTATTTTTTGCTTTATATTGAACTCAATTTAAAAAGGACAAGTTTCGAGATTAACTTGCTTTCATGATTAATTCTAACCATGATTTTCGAACATTTGGATAACATTCTAATTAAGTAGTTTCAAGGTTGAATCTTCGTTATTCAATGATATACTAGTAAATTGATATGTACTAGATACACTGTATGTACGAACATGATTATAGGCATCGTTGAGGTATCTGTAATTTAATCGAACCGCTTCAGAAACTTTCTTGCAATGTACTTTACGAATGTGTGATTGCTCAAGATCGTTAATTGATTTCAGAATGTACGAATGATGTATGTGTTAATTATAACTTACAGTTTTTAAATGCTTGGTTAAAATGTTGAAATCTTATTTTGTAATTTTTTTTAATATTGCGATGGTGAAAAAGTAATTTCGATGTTGCGTCATGGTGATGAGGGCTGCTTTGAAGTATGTAAAAGTGGAAATATAATGAGAGTCTAGTAAAATTACAGTTGTATCAAATGTTAAAGATATTGAATCGTGCTCTTTGGAATTTGATTGCGATTTTATCGTGCGTAAGGGATTATGTAAAAATTGCAATATAACGAGAGATTGTTATAATTGCAGTTGTCTTAGGTAGCAGAGAAGGGTTGAGTTGTATTAATTGAAAGATTTGCGTTGTTCGTAAGCGATTATGTAAAAACGGCAATATAACAAGAGATTACTATAATTTCACTTGTATTTGACAATAAAGAGATACTGAATTGTAATTATTGAAATTTACTTGATATCTGTATTGTACGTAAGAAACTATGTAAAAATGGCAATATAACGAGAGATTAATATAATTGCACTTGTATTAGGCAGTATAGAGATATTCAAATGTAATTATTGAAATTTTGCTTGTTATTTATATTGTACGTAAGAAAGTACGTAAAAATGGCGATATAACGAGAGTTCCCTAAAATTTCAATGAAATTACAGTTATATTAAACATTAGAAGGGTATTGAATTGTAACTGTTAAAATTTGCTTACAATATGTATCTTCTATAAGAAATTATATGAAAATGGCAATATAACAAGAGTTCACCGTAATTACTATTGCACTTGGTGATAAAGTGAAATTAAATGTAAATTAATTGAAATTTTGTTGCGTTTTATATCGTGCATAAGAAGCTATGTGAAAATGGCGATATAACGAGAGTCGACTGAAATTTCAATGAAATTACAGTTATATTAAACATTAGAAGGATATTGAATTGTAATTGTTAAGATTTGCTTACGATATGTATCTTCCATAAGGAATTATATGAAAATGGCAATATAACAAGAGTTCACCGTAATTACTATTGCACTTGGTGATAAAGTGAAATTTAGTGTCATTAATTGAAATTTACTTACATTTTATATCATTCGTAAGTGACTATATGAAAATGGCAATATAACGAGAGTTTACACCGATTACAGTTGTATTAAATATTAGAAAGCTATTGAATTATGTTTATTGAAATTTACTTGGAATATATACTGTATGCAAGGAATTATATGATAATGGCAATATAACAAGAGCCTACTGCTATTAGATTACTTAGATTATTAATTATATTATTACACTATAGAAAAGAGTTCAAATTTGTTAGTAGAAAATTTGCAATTTGTATCATGCGTAAGAGCCTTTGTAAAAATTGCAATATAAAGAAAGTCTATTTCCTACAGATCTACACATGTTATTTCCTAAGTTTCTATCTACATTCATCACAAAATGATGAATGGTTCTTTAAACCGAGATAAGCGGTTCCGTTTTCTTTATCGGTGTTAAAAGATTATGTTTACGATAAGAAGAGTTCATTAATAGCCAGAATACGATTATGTTGCTTAATATTACCGCTAAAATGAATGGACGTTCGGACGAGTATTAAATTATCCCCAGTATTACTCGAACGTTCTGGAGAACGCGCAAAAGCGCATTGGACTGTTGCAAACACTTTCAGTGCTTACTTCCGATAATAGATTCCTTTAATTGCTGCTTACGATGATCGCGGAAGTACTATATTACTTTCTCGATCAATTTCTTGCTCCAAATGCACATAATTCTTATGTAATGAGAACCTATTTCTATGTATTCATAGTAATTGTATTATTGATACCATTTATATAAATCGGTTGTAACTTTTATAAACAATACATTATTTTAACAATTAATTTCTTAAGCAGTATCATCGTGATGTAAAAATTCGGAAGCGAAAGTTTCGATTTCTTCCCGTGGCGAATCTCTCCAAACATCAGATCTCATATCGTTTTCACCGAAGGTTGCGTAAACCAAATCAGATTCTCACAATTCAATAGTTTTATTGTTCTCGAATAGACACAATATTTAGCGTTACGCTTATGCTCCATAATATCCTACAATTTTTATTGCTTGAGTTACACTTATACCCATAGACGTAAATGACGTTTGTAGGACCCTGCTCTTTACAATTTAAAAAATTTCAAAATATAAGAAATTAAAAATTTGGGGACTTTTGGGTCAAAGAGAATTTTTAGGTTAGGTAATTTTTCATTTTTTAGGAAGTTTGAGAATGTGGGGGCTTTGAAATTTAAAAATTGGAAAATTTGCGGATTTAGTTAAAAATTTTTAATTTTGAAAATTTGGGGTTCAGAAATTTTAGTATTTGTAAATTTGTAAATTCTGAAGTTTAAAAACTTGAAGGAATCTGTAAATCGTCTCTCGTCAAATAACGACTCATTTAACAAAAAGAAAAGCACAATGCGTTTCACTTAATAAACTTTGTCGCACGAAAATTAAAAGGGATTATTAATGTCCGTTGCGTAAGGGGCCGCGATGTTAATACGGTTATCTCAAACGTTACATCTCACAAGCAGGAATGGCGTCTTGAAGTACCGCGTGTGGGAAAAAAGCCTTTCCTCCTGTACACCTGCGTATGAATCTCGTTAAAAAACGTTTCACTAACAGAAAAAGGGGCGGAAGTGAATTTTAACGAAATTATTCTCGTACGTAATTGTATTGTTTAAGAGTCCACGTTGGACTCGTTTCGTTTTGGTGAAAAGAACGTGTCCTATCTTAATGCTTTATATCCTTTGTACTGCAAATTAGATATTATCTGCACACTTATTATTTGAACTGTTCTTTCAATTACAGGATACAATAGTTTCCTGTTATATAGCAATCTCTACTTTACCTGTAACTGCTTTGAACGTGTATTAAATTTGTATAGATTATGGGTCTTTTATAACTGCAATTGATATTTGAGTTTACTTGATCTTAATTATGGTATCATGACTACAGAATTTTTTTAGAAAGACACATAAAACTATGATTTATTGTAAAGCAATTAACTTATGGAATTAAAAGTATTTATTAGAAAAAAAAATTTGTATGTCATTCTCTATCTTACCAACTATATTCTTCAAAATTACTTCAATGATTCAAAATTGATATCAGTTTGACAAAGTCAAAAACATTCTAAAATTATTTATTCTTGCTCTGCGATGTAATTTAATTAATATTATAGTTAATTAAAGAAATAAAATTAATATTAATTGGCTTTTTTATAATTGAACATGTGGCGCCATCTCTCCGGCGAACAGGGTGAACTACACACTTTTGAAACTGCAACTTCGTTAGTTCCAATCTTCCACCGCTAGGTGGTAGCACATAAAACAGACCCAATTAACCAAACAATTTTTTAAATTTGATAATGGTTTAGTAAAGTTAAAACATTCAAAAATTAATTAGTTTTGCACTCCGATGGAATTCTATTCATATTATAATCAACTAAATTAACAAAATTAACAAAGTGCACTGGCTGAATTATCAAATTTTAAGTTTAAAACGCACTTGTAGAGTGTTATTTTAGCATAATGCGATTAGGTTAATGCGCTCAAAGTGCTGTAGAAGCGTTAAAATCGATTTTTAAAAAAACTCCATTTCATGGACTAAAAAATTGCCGTCCATCTAGCGGTGAAAGGCGGAACTACGAAAAACTAAAATTTCGATTTTCTCGAAAACTAGCCAATTTTACGTATTTCTGAGGGTCAGAAATTGTTCTGCGACCTCTCAAAAACCTATATAATGCCGCAGGAATCCCCTAAGAGCGCTAGAAAAGAAAATAGAAAAATAGCTCAAAACATGGACGAAAGAATTGGCGTCCATCTAGCGGTGAAAGTTGGAACTACAAAAACATAAAAATGCGATTTTCTCGAAAATTTGCGAACAGCGACTTTCCCGAAATTCTGAGATATACAAATTGTTCCTTGTCGCCCACGGAATCGAACGAATATAATTATAGCCTGCTAGAATCATTATTAAAGAAAATAAAAAAAATGTCATTTTATGGAGAAAATTTGTGGCGCCATCTAGCGGCGAAACTGCGAACTAAACTGAAAAACCGTATACCCGTACACGCATTAAGGAAAAATATAAAAAGCAATATTTCGCAGCTTTGACGACGTAGTATGCTTCTTTAGACATTTTAAAGCAATTTTTGTTAAATAAGTTATTCATTTTATTGCCTATTAAGCCCAGAAAATCAATTTTTATTTGACCCCTTAACGCGTTTTCGAACATACGTTTTATCGGTTTAGTTCGCAATTTCGCCGCTAGATGGCGCCACAAATTTTCTCCATAAAATGACATTTTTTTAATTTTCTTTAATAATGGTCCTAGCAGGCTATAATTAGATTCGTTCGATTCCGTACGCGACAAGGGACAATTTGTATATCTCAGAATTTCGAAGAAGACGCTAGTTTTCGAGAAAATCGAGATTTTCTATTTTTGTAGTTCCAGCTTTCGCCGTTAGATGGACGCCAATTTTTTAGTCCATGAAATGGGCTATTTTTCCATTTTCTTTAATAATGGTCCTAGCAAGCTATAATTAGATTCGTTCGATTCCGTAGGCGATAAGGAACAATTTGTATATCTCAGAATTTCGGAAATGTCCCTAGTTTTCGAGAAAATCGAGATTTTCTATTTTTGTAGTTCCAGCTTTCGCCGTTAGATGGACGCCAATTTTTTAGTCCATGAAATGGGCTATTTTTC